TCACAACCACATTCAAACTGAAATTTGCTTTCACATCTGACGGACTATTTGCAGATTCTCTCCCCTCTCCCGCCCTTCCCCCATTTTCTCAGTGTACTTAACTGAAACCTTCCTATGTCCCCTTGGAGCAGACTTTTCTGTCACAGCATGGCACTGATCTCCTCCCCATAGCAAACTCTTCCTGTTCATTCTAATTTGCAATATGTTACCCTGATTCGCTTCTGGCTGCTCCCTACTTATGTTCCAACATGTTTTAACCGTTAAGATATAATTAGTGTTTGAGAAGCAAAGAGCAGCTAGATTTCATTATTTCTAGTGTACAAATTGTATTCAATAAATCATAAGGAAACTGGATGTTTCTGGGGAGTTGCATATGAAGCTTTGCTGTCTTGGTCTCTGTTTCAACTCCAGTCTATATAAAAAGTATCCACAAGTTTTTATTATTTTGATGGACTCTATGTGATGAGCTGATGGTCTCAGACCAATTCCTGAGTTATAGGAGTAACTCCAGTATCTGGGAGCAGTAGTTGGGGAGCTCCCGCTAATTTTAACAGCAGAAGGGGAGCTATGCTTCCCACCCTGCTGCTCCCCATTACTTTAATCCTCTGCAGTCCCAGCAGAGAGGCCCAGGAGTAAAAGTCAGTTCTGCAAATTGAGGGCACTGAGCACCCTGCAAGATGACACCCTCATAAACGGATGCAGAGACTGAATGGTTAAAACTGAGGGACTCATGGGAAAAGAATATTTGTGAATATTAATTCAAATTAAAAAGTGAATTGGGATTCAGCCATATGCCAGGAACCTGAGCTTCCCCAACCAAGAGTTTCAATCAGCGAGGGTTCAGAGAACCAGCGTGTGAATGAGGCTGCAGTTTTGGGATTGTACATGCTCTCTGCTCTGAAAATGGTCCCATTTTGGCAGGATAATTTAATGGAATCAGGACTAACTTTCAATTTGCAATGAAATGCATAATGGCTCAAACTCCTAGCCTTCCAAATGATTCGCCATTGATTTGCTACAGCACCCATTATGAGCTTTCAGTGCTGTTCAAAGAAGTTCTCTTGCAGCATTCTCCAACATCCCTTTCAGAAAGTTTCTTTCTCTCCCTTTGTTATTTCCTGGCCATATCGCCTCATGATTCGTGACTTGACTCTTTCGACCCAGTGTGATGCATCAGCCAAGAAATTTTAAAAGACAGGATTTTTCTCAAAGGTTCAGATGATGAAAGTCTGACTTTTTCAGCACAGTTGGCCAGTCAGGTCCTTTTATGTTACAAAATGTGATTGTAGCAGCCTGACATGAAGCAGTTTTCAGGATACAACCAAACAGCAAGGAAATTTCTCAGAAGCAGGAGGAAAGAAATTGTCCTTTTTCTTTTGAGAGAATAAAACTGAACTTACAACATATGAGGCCTTCTCTGCAAACTACCAGTGCAGCGGACAATTAATTTCTAGGTGCAAATGTATGCAAAGGTTTTGCAGAGTTCGGGGCCTCTAGCATATACTTCTTGTCTACCATTGACACACTGGAGGTGGTGTGCTCTTTAAAGCTTGGTGCCTCAGTTTCCCCATATATTAAAAGGGAATAATACATGCCTAACAAGGGTATTAGGGAATTTAATAATGTAGGGTTAGATTTTCAAAAGCACTTAAGCAATTTAGGAGCACAAGGCCCTTTGAAAGTCAATGGGAAATGTGGTCCTAAATCACTTACGAGCTTTTGAAAATCACAACATTAATATTTGTAAAACATATTAAGATGCTTGCATAACATTAAATCTATTTTGGGGTTTTCTAGGTTGGACTTCACTGTCAGACTTTCAAAACAGCCCAGGGCTAGATTTTCATGTGTTCATCATCCAAAGCTGGGGTCTGATTTTCAGTCATGTTCAGAACCCTATACGCAAGGCACTTTTGAAAATTTGGCCCTGTATTAGCTAAGCATATAGGTAAATTAGGTTAGTATAAATCATAGCAGACTTCTGCTCGTCTCCTTTCCCAGATTTTAGGAAGCCTGTATACAGGTGCATTTGTTTATTTGCAATATAGAAAAAACCTTTCCAGTTCCACTAGAAAAGCTTACGCAAAAAACTGTGCCTGGCCACATGTTCTAAATGTGGCCAAATTTTGGCATAGTCTGATCCCCTCTGGTAGCTCATTCCATAGCCAAACCTTCTTCTCCAAGAATGCTTTGTGTCCAGCTCTCATGCGCTTCATCAGGGCCTTTTTTAGCTGCATTGTCCCAGAGAACTAGGTGGCTCTTGCATGGAGATGAGGCTTACATACACTATATTATTGGTAGTAATTATTTTATCGTTCTGAGTACAACTAAAATTCTTACTTGTGACAATCTGGTAAGAAGAATGTAAATCAATAGCTGTGTGTGCAAATTGCAATGAGTCATTTTATAACTGTTCACGGCTTTAACATCTGATAGAATTGAGAGAGAGAGAGAGAGAGATCTAGGTCCTATGGCTTAGCCTCCCTTGCTAAGACCTCTACATTTTCTCTTCACCCTGGTTTCTTTCCCAGGGATCTTGGGAGGGGAGGGGCTTCTGTTCCAATCTTATTTTGCTTTTTACCCTTTTTGTTACCACTGGATAAATAACTAGGTTAGAATGGCTATCCCAAGTGCAAATGCTAGCTAGACCCAATGCAAAGCTCCAGTGAACAGGCCGTGTACTGGAAAGATCTGCAGAGATGCCTGGAGGGTACAGAAAACACCCCTGCAAGCTATGGAGCAGCAGTTCCTTCTCTCCTACCTCCTCCAGCTGCCCCTACTAGTCACAGACATTATAATTAAATTGTACCCTCTTCCCACTAGCTGAGTGCACCGATCCATCCCCCGGCCTGCACAAAGTCTAGGGAACATTTATGGACCTGTTTAAATACAGAGCAGCCCCAATTTGCTGAAGGTCTCAGAGGACATTTGAAACCTTTGGTTTCCGCAGCTTCACTGGATGCTGGCTAGCGATGCGGACAGGATGGTTTCAAAAGGTCCACATAGCCAACCAGTCTGTGTGGCTGTCCGGCACACATTTCCACTGCCCTCCAAGCTTAGAACATGCAGCTCATGCTCCAGGTGGCAATTTGTCATGTGGAAACTGCTCAGTAGGATCCTCTGCCACCCAGCCTGGGGCATGCAGACTGGTGTCCTCTTTTGCTAGCCTGCTTTGGAGAAGCTGGCGGGCGGCTGCGTATTGTGCTATGGGTGAGAGGAGCATGGGGCACAGTGAAGAGGATAGAACCTTGGGAGGATTAGCCAGGGTTGTGCCGAGAGGTTTAGGAGCCAGAATTTAGTAAACCAGGGTTGTAACATGAAAGGGTCAAAAAGACAGTGGAACAATGAGTCTAGGATGGACTTCAACCTAACCACATCCCAAATGAAGCAACTAATATGTAACAGCTAAGCCGGGTCCAGACTGTCTGTCACACCTAGATCACTAGCTTCAACCGTCTCAATCTGATAGTCGTAAACACCCCATGCAGTCCTATTGTAACAACTCTCCATGTAATTAAAATGAAGTGGGAACTGTGTTCATGCAGTACTGCCCCAGAAACACACCTTGAACTGTGAGCACGCAATGATACAGAGTCAAAACCTGGGCGGCCAGGGGCCTTTCCAGCTATTCTGTGCTCACCAGCAGACAAAGGGAAGAATGTATCAAATAGACCAGTAGCGGCTCCCAGGCCATTAATACACATTTCTCGTATTTCCCCTTTACATTCCTATCCTCAATAGCCAAGTAGAGTCCATCATGCTAACGACCCCTGAAGAGTTCACTCACTTTACCCATCAGTCCATCAAAGCACTTCCTTGGCACCATTAGAAATACTCTCTCCAGTCTGCTTGCTCTGCAAGGAGGAGATTACTTTTACTAGTGTCCTCGCTGTCCGTATCAAGCTACATTCATATTCGTTTCTGAATTTGGATTTCCTAATTTCATCATAAAGAAACCAAACTATTGCGCAGCTCTAGGCATTCCTCAATAATGCATGGAGGAATAATATCTTATAACAAAGTGTAAAGGAGAAGTTGAAAGCAGATCACAGAATTAATCAAGCATCGGTTAATCCCAAGCTGTTATCTTGATCAGAAGGAAAAACATCACTATAGTTTTAGCCATAGGAAGCGGGTGGGAGGGGGGGAGGCCAAAGTTCACAACATGAGCACCAAGTGCACTCGACCTGGGCATCTCTCTGCACGTCCTTTGGCTTAAAGGAACAATGATCTGTTTCAAACAAGATCATTACAAAGGGTAAAATTTACCCTCATGCGAAGGGCAGCACAAGACCTAGGCATTATTCAAGTCTCACTTTAGCCCTCAAAATAAAGTGTAATTGGGACTTAGATGGTGCATAACATTGCTCACCCTTTGCGCAGAGGGGAATTTTACCCAAAGTGACCTCCTGGTTGGTTTTTGTTGCTGCACACAGCGGGAAAAAATCCCACAGGAGAATGCACAGGTATTATAGGGTCGTATATGAAAATAATACTATGATGTGGAGGCTTACATTTAAGAATGTGTTTTATTTTTATAGGTGACTGTAGCACACAAGAAACATACCCAAAACAGACAGCCCTGAAGACAGAAGTCCTGTTGTTATTTACAGAACGTGCATGTTGCATGCTTTCCCACCCTGACTCACTAATATATCAAACCTGGCCTGAAGGGGTAAAGAGAAGTGCATAACTCCGCCTTCATGGTCCATTCCATCCTTGCCTTCTTTGCTGAGGTCAACACTAATGTTCTATTTTGGGGATGTGGACACTTGTCTAGATACTCCCAAAGCTTATTTCGGATGGGCTGTGTAACAACAGCCATCAGATGATGTCAGCTTTTAGTCACTTCCTTCCTGGACTCACTGAATACAAACTTAGAAACCTAAAGGTGATCCCCATACAAATCTCCCCAGCTATCCGCGTCCCAGCTTTAATCAAGTAAACGATCGGCCAATGCGCTTCTCATCTCCTCCCTCTTTTGTTTTTTTTCTTTGCAGGTCTACATGAACTCCAGTGTTCCCTGCCTGTGGAAAACAGAAGAATCTTTCTGGATGAATTATCTGAGGTCAGCTTCAGTGAATGCAAATTTAGTTTGTCGTTAACGGATCTGTTGATCATCATCTTCTCTGGCGTCGCGGTCTCCATCGCCGCCATTCTGTCAAGCTTCCTCTTGGCAGCGCTGGTGCATTGCTTCCAGAGATGCGCTCCCAGCAAAGATGACGATGACGAAGAAGACAGCGAGGACTGAACCATTCCTGTATTTAAATATCCCTCGTTTATAAGTTACTGGATCAACAGCCAATGTTGAAGAAGAAGAAGAAGAAAGAAAGAAAAGCGAACCTAGATTTCTTGACGCTGGATCTGTTTCTGTGGAGTTCAATCAAACATTGCTTTTAAACTCAGGGTGGGGCTAGGGGACGAAGAAAGAGGGGAATGAATCCAAAAGAAGTCCCGGTGTTTGGAAAAGATTGTCCTCATGATAGCATATGTACTTAATAGATGGTTCTAATTGCACCCTGAAAAGGGCCCACTATATGTAGCATAAATACAGAGCTTTCAGTTGGAAATACAGAAGCAATTTCATATCGGCTCCTCCCTCTACCTGGGGAGGGGAGAGTCAGGTAAACTTCCCCAACTTCCCAAATGACCAAATTCAATTAAATTGGTTCATAGAGTTGTATAAACCATTATAGGAAGTTTGACGTTTTCTTTATACACAGTGTCTCTGCAAAGATTGTCCCACAAGTTAGTGCTCCGAGTTATGGGCCTCATTCAAGCATTTTAAATAAGCCAATAGTGTTCTAGGTCTCAACAACAACAAAAACCCTCAAGCATTAGCTGCAGTTAAGCAGCTGCCCGGCATATCTTTGGCCAGGGTATAAATAATGATAGATTTCCTTTCTGGTTTGGGGGGCAATGAAGCAAAGACAATCCTTTAGCCCTGCAATACTAGGGACCAGGATCTTTATCCTAATGTATCACTCAAATCCTGGAACAACGCTGGGTGTCATTAGCCACTTGAACAACTTCACTATAATCAGCAGAGGGATACTCTAACTGGAATTGCAGTCTGCATACAGCAATGTACTGAAATACTCTGGTGCATTCGTTCTCCTTCATTATAAATAGAGCTTCATTAGACCCAAGTTCATGACCATGAGACCTGAGCATGAAGCAGAACACTGGATTTGAACATCCCCAACGATTGAGAGGTTTCTTCTGAGTTTGCATTTTAAGATTGGTTCCCTCAGTTGAACTGGAAAAGCCCCAGTCTTGGGGTATTTGCAATCTGACCCAGATTGCGTCTCTGAGTTTTGAAGCTCGAGGCCAGGCCTAGCTAGAAGTGGGTTCCAAGTTTGAGTATACGAAGTTCCCATTATGAAATACAAAACAAACCATTAAAACATTCATACTTAGTGCAATGGTTAACTCTGGAAAGTTGAGAAATCACTGGATCTGGATTGTGAATACCCACAATATTGGAGAGTTTGGCATGGAGGTTTTAGCTTGGCCCAACACTGAGACGAGGCCAAGGGTAAAACGTGGCTGTGGATCATGGTTCAGAATACAAATCCCCATCCACGTTTAGACACTGATTCAGTGCAGGATTTAAATATGTGCTGAAGCCCCAATGATCTCAGTAGGATTGAAGCACGTGATTAAGTGCTGTCCTGAATAAGGATGCTTTGATGAATCAGGGTCTTAGGAGGTACTCTCATAGCAGAGATGGCTTCTTCCCCCTCTCTGTCACAGTCATCCCAACAGCCTTGTCACTGGGTAGAAGGATTATGTTATGTTTCCACGAGGCAGGGATCACCAAGGAGTTTGTTCAGGAAGGGGGTTGACATTTATCAAAGAATGTTTTAAATCATTTATTTCTTCAGTGAGTCAATATTGGATAAATAGACATGATGAAAAATTATGTTTGTAATGCATGGAACTGGGGTGAGATATTAGAAGAACTGGGGATCTTCTCCTACTCTTGCTCTGGCAGCATGACATAATCAGTGAAAATTATTGGCCAATAAGGCCCTGATCTTGCAAGCAGATCCAGGCGGGCCAATCCTGGCATTCACACACCCCTTATTGACTTCAGTTGGACTTCAAGCAGGAGCAAGGGTCTGCTTGCAGAATCTGGCTCTAAATTATTGTTTTGAAATACTAAGGGCTATGTTCTGCTCACAGTTGCACTGGTATAAATCCAGAATAACACCAGTGAAATCAATGGAGTTAATCCAGATTGGCACCAATGCAAACAAGAGCAGAATCTGGCTCTAGGATACATCAATTCTGATTGTATTATAGGTCTTGTCAAAACTTGATTTCATCTATAAAAGGGCAGATATTTTTGTTAAAAAGATAAATGAACATTTATTAAAGGAGATTTTTGGAATAGCAATGGACAGCTTTTTTGGACAAGTATATTTTTAAAAAATTTGCCATGGAAATATTTTTTTAAAAATGTACATACTGAAAATATTATTTAGAAAAGCTACGAAGACTGAAAATAGTACAAAAAACCAAAAACAAACAAACAAAAATAAGTAGAAGCAAGCCAAGAACTATAAGCTGTTGTAGAAGACTCAGATGTGACCATAAGTAGCATCTAACTACTGTAAAAACTGGTATTGTTTCTGGAAAACATTTTTTTGCTATGATTTTGCCTTGCACAATTCATGCGGATTGATTTTTATGGCAATCATCCAAATCCCTTGTATCTATATTGTGTGCTAATTGCTCAAACAGATGGGAGTGAAATTTAATTTGCCTATTTGACAGGTCGTGTGGGTCAGTGGATAGGGAACAAGACTGGGACTCAAGAGACCTGTCTTCGTTCCAACTCTACCATTGGCCTGCTGTGTGACTTTTGACAGGTCACTTTCCATCTCTGTGCCTCAGTTTCCCTATATGTATAAGGGGGATTAATACTTATTTATCTTTACAAAGTGCTTTGAGATCTGTGGGTGAAAAGCACTGTATCGGGCTATGTATTATTATTACATAAGCTAGGCTGGAGCACAAGATATACAGTAAGTCTAATTCTGATCTTACACCAGTATAATTCCATTGATCTCGATGGAGTTACTTCTCATGTACACCAGGGTGAGATCAGAATCAAACCTAGTGTAATTCAGTTTCTCATTCCGCCCTATCTCTCTAGCTTCTTCAACTTGATGTAATGTTACAGTTATAGTCATAAGACTATTCTTTCTGGAAATACACTGAAACAAAATTAAGTGGTCCAGTCAAAGGATATGCTGCATCAATTCTCTCTTACTCTCTTCTTGCTCTTTCAAGAAAATGAAATGACATGATTTTCACTATGTAGTGCCATGGTTACAAATTACACAAATATATTTCTAATGAATATATTGCTGCTGTTGTTTATTTGTATATGAGAATGCACTCTCCCCCCCACCCAACAAGCACCTGATTCTGTTCTTATTAAAAAGACACTTTGCACAACATGAGTGGAAATACACAACTCCTTTGCCCTACTCGCTCAATTAATGAAAAATGCGCCATTTGCAGCATACACAGATATGTTAGCAACAGTTTTATAATTAGAGCTGTGCAAACAGCTTTTAGTGACACATGAACCAAGGTGACACTTTTCTGCTTTCAAGTTTTATTATGGCTCCAAAACTTGGTCCGGATTCACCAAATGTTTTGTTTTGCCCAATTTTCAAGTGAAACTTCACTATGTTTGGGGGGAAAATCCTATGGGGATCAACTTTTTTTCTGTTTGTACCGTGCCTAGCTCCGCAGGATCCTTGCCCATGATGAGGGCTCATAGATGCTACGGTACTGCAAATAATAAATAATAGTCATAAAACCATTCAAGGGAGGGATTTATGTCTTGTGAAACTCAGCAATTTTGTGTGCTTTTTGACCCAAACTAGGCAAAACTTTGGCCATTTTGACGGGGTTCTAATTTGAATTTCCAGATTCGTTTTAACTTGTTAGACTTGCTTCACAAAACTAAGATTTGGACTGAGAATGCTCCCAGGTTTAGGCCTGTTGGCATTTGAAGATTTTGGTTCAACCCACTGTGAAGATAGAAGTCTTGTGAAACACTGGTTTTGGTTAGGGCCTAAGCGCCACTTGAAACTCAGGGGATGAGAACCAAGCCAGGCTGAAACCCAAAATAGTTTGTAAACCCATTGCCAACTGAATGGCAGAGTTTAGCAAAGCTCTGTTTATAACACTGTCACTGTTTCATGTTAAAGAGACTTTTGCAAAATATGTTATTTTCAAGATAAGAGCATTTCATAACATCGTACACTACTGAATAATATATAATATGTCGGTATTATACTCAACTGTTTGGAATCATTTTTGCATTGTGAACATCATAGAATCATAGAATATCAGGGTTGGAAGGGACCTCAGGAGGTCATCTAGTCCAACCCCCTGCTCAAAGCAGGACCAATTCCCAACTAAATCATCCCAGCCAGGGCTTTGTCAAGCCTGACCTTAAAAACCTCTAAGGAAGGAGATTCCACCACCTCCCTAGGTAACCCCTTCCAGTGCTTCACCACCCTCCTAGTGAAATAGTTTTTCCTAATATCCAACCTAAACCTCCCCCACTGCAACTTGAGACCATTGCTCCTTGTTCTGTCATCTGCTACCACTGAGAACACACTAGATCCATCCTCTTTGGAACCCCCTTTCAGGTAGTTGAAAGCAGCTATCAAATCCCCCCTCATTCTTCTCTTCTGCAGACTAAACAATCCCAGTTCCCTCAGCCTCTCCTCATAAGTCATGTGTTCCAGCCCCCTAATCATTTTTGTTGCCCTCCGCTGGACTCTTTCCAATTTTTCCACATCCTTCTTGTAGCATGGGGCCCAAAACTGGACACAGTACTCCAGATGAGGCCTCATCAATGTCGAATAGAGGGGAATGATCACGTCCCTCGATCTGCTGGCAATGCCCCTACTTATACAGCCCAAAATGCCGTTAGCCTTCTTGGCAACAAGGGCACACTGTTGACTCATATCCAGCTTCTCGTCCACTGTAACCCCTAGGTCCTTTTCTGCAGAACTGCTTCCTAGCCATTCGGTCCCTAGTTTGTAACTTCTTCATGGGATTCTTCCGTCCTAAGTGCAGGACTCTGCACTTGTCCTTGTTGAACCTCATCAGGTTTCTTTTGGCCCAATCCTCTAATTTGTCTAGGTCCCTCTGTATCCTTACCCTACCCTCCAGTGTATCTACCACTCCTCCCAGTTTAGTGTCATCTGCAAACTTGCTGAGAGTGCAGTCCATGCCATCCTCCAGATCATTAATGAAG